AACAGAAACCGTTAATCAATAAGGTTGTACGTACAGAAAAATTATCGTGTTTTTCTTAAAAACAAGCGAATCGAGAATAAATTTATCTGAATTCTGTGGATTAATCTCAACATCGAAGAGAAAGCAGAATTTGCGATAATATTTAACAATGGGTTACTGGCTATTCATGCGTTTCAATTGCATTGTAATGCAGAATCACAGGAACTGCCCGATCCATCCCTACTACATGCAGATATACCAAGTTCCTGACACAGATTCTTGTAGGTGTTTTGTTCATTTGTCTCTGAACCAGATGTCGAATTTCAAAAGGTGATATTTCCCTAACAATACGTGCAAGTGAACGTTTTTACTATTACATCAAAACAAATACAATTATCCGAGAGAAGAATTTGAATATTCCCTTGCTATTGTTATTTATCCATGAACTAGAATAATTTGTCGTCTTAAAGTGTACAAGAATATATGAAATATGCAAATGTGACATAGTCATAAAGTATGAAGAAATATGTAGAATTGATAGTAAATATTCTTAGTACTGTAATATAGAAACTAGTTAACAATTATTTAAGGAGAATATTAGAGTTTTACAAGAGAAATATAAAAATTGAGTATGAATTGAAATATATTCTAAAATATAATACAAAAGAAGTCAAAAGAGATGTAGCATACTTTGTTACTTATTTTCTGTATAAAAAATTGACTTCTCCTGTTTTTCTGCAATTTATTACTACTCACGTACTAATTAATATTGTTATCATTCGCTTTATACAATGTATAGTTTATTGTTAAGGAAAATTGGCTCTTGACCGTTTATTTCGTCGAAAATGGCGGAGTTTGTTACGCTGGCGTTCTCATTAAGGTTCTCCTATTGCGAGCCGTAAAAAGAGTGAACGAGCGGTAGTTCCTTAGGAGGCAGTTTACGAATGAAAAATGTGGCAATTATCGACGCGTAACACGTGCAAGTACTGTTACCTATTTTTCGCGTATTTCCTTTGCATATTGTATAAATGCATGTTACGTTTTTCTTGACGAGATATTAATTTCGACACGCTCGATTACCGGTTTTATCCCATGAAGACAAGAAATAAGTGCACGATTTGCAGATAAGATCGGAAATCATTCCTCAATAGTGTAGAAAAATAAATACTTTTATGCCAATTATCTTTATATTACAAACAAAGAAAAATATATTCTCATGCGTATGATTTGTTATATTCACGTTTTCGTTCACAATGTATTAATCTGACAAACAGAAATTTGCCAATCTCGTTTAAACAATAATTTTTTATATCCTTTGGTGATCAATAATCGGCAACTGAATAATATCGCATCGACGGTCTTCTCTATAAATATTGAAATAATTTTTGCGATTAATCTCTTACAGACAGGGAAAACTCTGGCAATGTGCATAATACGTTGCGAACCATGATTATTGACTCACGGATTATTGAAATTTAAATTTGAATGGGAGTGGTTAAACGTGAAGCTCAGTATTTCTCTTGCAGGAATATATTTCGAAAATTGTTCGTGCAGACTTTGAGAATTTTTACATACATTGTTGTATTTGAATTAAATATTTGTCTCCATCACTTGATCACATTTTTTTCATTACTTTATATTAAGATATAGTATATGTGTCTACTGCCATATAACGATATTCCCTATTTATGACTACAGTATACAAGTAGACATATCAATCAATATATTCTTTTCCCTCCTAGTTTATAGAGCTCTAATGCCCCATTACAATTTCTGAGTAAGACGAGAAGAGTTAAAAAGAGAACATGGCAAGCAATCCTAACACTCACTACAATAGAAAATAAACTAATATATTGTACAAATGATTTAATTCTGATTAATAAATTACTGGAAACATATTTTGGTACTTTTATTTCACGATCCTTGACCAAGTGACCGATTCTCGGAGTGGCTATATGGAATCAATGATCATCTCCTTTTAAATCACCCGAATGATCTTGCACACTTATTGATAAATAGCGAAAATCTGACATTTTGCAATTTGCTTCCTTTTCATTTGCAATTGTATAAAATGTTAATGTATTCGAACGCTTCGAAATCTAGTTCAGAATCTCTGTATCATAAAGTGTATCTCGATTCTTGAATAAATTAGTATATGTACTAATGAATGTTACGACGAATTGAGAAAAGCAGTTGAATCACTTTTGATAGAATAAAAGTGGAAGGTACGGGAGATCAGGCTTCATTTGGGTAACCGAGTTCACTCATATATTCGTACAAGCGAATCCTTCTTGTTCTCCAATATTACTTCAGCAAATAATCATTCTTTAATAGACGACTATTCATTAACAGAGTATACCTGACCTGTCATATGTACATACTTGTCATTATAGTGAAGATGTATCATACGGAAAATTCAAATGTTATTCATGTTCTTGACTGCATCACAGTTCTCTCATTTATTAAATGCCAGTCTCAATAAAGTTAATATAAAGCGATAACGTGATGTCCGCGAAAGATTATTTAATCGTTACGTATTACCAGCATCGCACTATAAATTGAACTGAATTAGTTATACAAATTAACATTGCGCGTGAGGAACCTATTATTAATATTAAATTAATATCTGATATTAAAGCGGAGAGTTTACATGCAGGATTTATAGAAATATCGGCTTAAATTAAGTAGAATAATCATACGTAATGCTGTTTGCAGTCAACATCGAAGTTTTATTGATAAATTATAAAATAATAGACAGTTCATACTTTTATTGTACTCCCTTCATATTTCTGTTACAACTTTTTAATAAAGAATTTATGAACTCTTTGTTTTGCATCATGTTTTAACTCTATATTTTTATCTGGTTTGACAAAGTTTACATAGAAATCTATGTGATACTACATCGTGTATATCTATCAATTGTTCTGAAACTTTTACGAAGCGGTAACTCACGTAAATTGGTTATAGTGTACGTTTCTCTATTTCGCGAAACTTTTAATTCAACCAGGTACGTATTATATGTCAAACAACTAACATCACTGCTATCGTAGTTATTTACAATGGTTTATGGCAGCGGTATAAATGGCGGTGAATCGTGATAGGGCTATAATGTACGTAAATATACCTTTCTGCGTGGCCACAACAAACAACTAATAAACTATGACTGCATAACTAGTCAACAAAAATTAGCCAGCACCGACTGTTGTACTTTTTTTTTTAATAAAAATATTCTGTTTCATTTCAACGCAAATAAGCTACGCTGCGAGCTAAAAGTGATCAAATGAGTGAGAATTTGTATAATTTATTTCCTGTTGTATAATTTTCAGTTAAATCAGATTCTCCAGCATAATTTTTCCTTTACTTTATACCAGTTATAAAAATACTGTCCTATAATACCTACCCATTCAAAATTGTTTCAGTGCAAATAATTAAAACTTATATAAAACAAAAATATTTATTCATTTGATTGCATGTATATGCACAAATATTTTCTTTTAGAAGATGAAGGTAGTCAGAGATAAAGGTAATGTTTCGTGGCCCCATGCAAATAAATCAGGTTCGCGTCGCATACTTACAGAAATTCCGAAGGGATAGTCTTTTTGTGAAAGCAAAGGCAGAAAAGTGCCACAGTAATTAATTCCAACGATTAATGATCATATGGTTAGGGTCTTGATACGGGGTTCCTTTTCGAGGGTTACTGGGGTCGATATTGTCCAACTGCTAATTAATTAGTACCATGAACACATTTTTCCAGTATTTTTTACGGGACTACATTTTTTTTAATCCACGAAGTTTTATATTTTTTAGGTAAGTATGTTTAAGGAGAAATAATAATGTTATACTTCTCAGGAATTCTGCTCTTCAGAATTTCTTGAATAATATACCAGAAGCTTTAAAAGATGGATTAACACGTTCACAGGACTTGTTCCTCTATGTGTATATCCATTGTTCCAGAGTAATCTGATAATCCGCGTTATTTTTCTTCGTGTTTATATCATAATTAATGGGATGGGAAAATACCGATAACAGTCTCGTTAATGAATGTTCTGCGTCACATCTTGATACAAACTAAGATACGAATACCCACGTTTACCCCTGGAATAGGTGATGTATGATTATCTTAAATCTCCTCTCTTTCTCATCCGGGAGAACTATAATTGTAATTAATAGTTTCACCAGTGTCGCACGTATTGTGGATTGATATTACCCTGTAACCATATACGCCACGCAATTGCAATATTGTTATCGAAGAAGTATCATTTATAAAAACTTGTTCTTTATTCAATGAATAAATGAGTACATGATGTGATCTCACTACGTTCATTTTAATAATACACTGTGAAAAAACGGTAACATTTACCGTTATTGTAACGATTGTAATGGTTGGAAACGCATGTCGGATAATAGCGGAAATCAATTTCAATTGTCAAAGCTGAAGTTAATTGAATCCCATTTGAATAGCCGGCCGTGAAACAATGTGACACGGATACGTGGTCACATGTCTTTAAATACTTTATAGAATGACTCTTGAAATTTTTTACACAATATTAACTTTTTGAAATTTCAAGCAAGTTATTCAGTGTTTCCGTATAGATCAATGAGACATATTACAGACAATTTTTTAAATTATCAAAAATTCCATCACCGTAAATTCCTTTCACAAGTACATGTAAAAGTTTAATTTTATTAGTGTTATGTAGCAGAAATAATTCGTTGAAAACGATTTCTGCACGGAGGAAAATCAGCGCGAGGCAGCTGCGTTTATCGTTCTACAGCCATGTTCTCTTCTTCGGAATTCATGAGAAAAAACAAAGGAAAATCGTTGATCTCTGGATCAATAGACAAAAGTGTAACAATCCGGTGTACCTCTGGAATACAAATAGCTATGCTCGCCTCGATAAGCATCGAAATCCCTACTCAAATAGCTGCACTTTGTGATGCCGCGCTGTTCCGCTCGAATCGAGGAGGAAAGATGCTGAAGGTGGGGCAGCAAGAGCAGCAGGACGAAGGTTTGTCAGCAACTATTCCGTGTTCGATCAGTGTTATTTCATTCGTTGCTCATCCACGAACGACTCGTGTCTCGATTTCCGTAAAGTGAAGGGACAAACACGAAAATCAAAGAGAACTACTTCGCTGTATGGACACCTAACAAGAAGAAAATCGTCCATTTCATGACGAAGGTGAGATGCGTATCCGACAAGGAAACCATGAAAAATCGAGATGAATGCTTCATTACCCCAAAATAATTGAATCACTTGTGTTATGATCGTTTACGAAACAGGATTCATTCAGCTAGTTCATCATTTGAAATGCAACAGTGCCGGTGACACAATTCCCGTTATTCTATATTGACAATCTCACTCGTCCAGTTCTATTTAATTTTTTAATTCGATAAATATTGGATTTCCCTATCAATAGCGCCAATTCTATATTCTCTTGGAAAATATCCATTAAGGTTATTCAATGATTAGAAAAATTGTAATTGATTGAACAGTAGGCAGTATTGAGTAACAACATATGAAAAAACATTTTTAATAATCTTCGCGATTTATCGTACAATATTAAATGAAATATTTTCTTTTATCTAAACATCTCGTGTTTGCACACTAGTTAAATATAATTAAATACTCGACGCCGGATGAATGAAACCTAGTAGACTTCATTCAGCGTAATTATGCTTTGTATGCTGGAACGCAAACCGCACATTATGTATTTCGTATTATCTCATCGGTCGTCCATGCAATTAAGTACCCGACTGTTTTACCGCGTCCGTCATTATAATTTTCTCGTTACCGCACGGATTGCGCATTAATTGTAAATTACCAATCCAGCTGAAATGGTCGATTGCCCGAAACCGATCCGCGAACGACATTCCAGTAAACATCGAATCCTTTGTCTCCCGTGTCTCGTTTTGAAACGTAACGTCGCGTTCAGTCCTCGAGGGGAAAATTATTGAAAAATTGTCGCCGCAGAGAAATTCGTTGCTTGGGAAATATATTCCAGAATATGTAATCCAACACGGATGTACAATGCGGCACAATATAGTCATGTACAATTGACGTTTCCGACTACGTTCGTTTTATTTTCCAATTAATTCAACCGCCATTGTCCACAGCGAGAAGAATTTTTTACTGCGAAATTGGAAAATTTCGTAAAACAGACGAAATCAGCGGGGATTAATTATTCGTACAATTATCGCTCGCTGAGAATGTTTGAATAGATGACGAGTGCTCGGGCCGAAAGCAATTAACTATAAGCCGTCTGCGCCGCGATATCACATTTCGAACATGGCGGTGCAACAAGAAAGTTATTAAGAAGTTCGCGTTGAACTATGTTGTGTCGAGATGGCGACTATGATACGCGGTTTTGATTAATTTGCGCGTGAACAACTTCTGAACAGAGTAGAGAGAAAGAGATGGAAGGAAAGGTTTCCCTATCAAAAATTGTTAACGTCCGCCGAAATAATTCCCGGCTATAGAAATACTTCTTGCGGCAAGGATGTAAATCTTTTCCTGTTAATTGCAATGTCTGAAATTCGCGCGCTCAGATTACAACATAAATTGGATAAAGCTGGAACAGCATGCTTGCGTTCGTTGTTTCGCATAGCGCTCCGTTACAATTTCAAGACGCCACGCGACAGGAATATTTTCAACCTCGAAATACATTGGAATGTTAAGTAATTCCTCTTGGAAACGATATGCTAAGCGATCAATAAAATAAGTTTAATTCTAACAGCCAGGAACATAGTTTAATACTGCGCGTTCTCTATCCATGTGCAACAAGTTAGTTCGGCTAAATTTTCGTCTAATGCAATTGCAATTTTAAATAATTATGTTATTATACTGTCGTCAATACATAAACTTTTGAGGAAGTCAAAAGAAAGAATTTGGAATTATCATTTTTGTATAGAATACACAACTCTTTTCAAACTCAATATCGAGTTTGATCAATTTTTTGCAAAAATATAACATTGATATTTCCTGTACTAAGTCACAGATATAAAGATTATTTATAAGACGGTTCTGTTTGAGATAACGGGATTGTTAGCGGGGGTTGAGGGAAACGATCATACGTATTCGCAGCGAGCTTCTCACCTAATTTCTCGTCGTTTCAAGCTTACCACTTAAAGTTCCCCGTCGATGACCAAACCAAACATAATAACTATGCAAATGTGCCAAAACGTATCATGCAAATTGTATCAAAGAAGCTAACTAACAGAATATCGTCACCGTTATTCCAGTGGGAGATTTCCAGTAAGGGAATCGGAGGGAAGGCGTAATCGGATCATACACCGAGTTTCCAATAGCTTTCACGTTTCCACGCAATTTACTTTAGTTAATTTCGCCACATTCCCTATATACGCTGTTTTCGGGCTCACACAATTTCTCTTTCCTGGCGGCCCCACGCATTTAATCCTTGTTTTGTCCTGAACGAAACAATGGTTTCGAATTTCGACGGAGTCGATCATTAGTCAAAAATAATTAGACGGACCCCTTCGTACGCAATTTACCAACGTCAATGAACCTACGTCTGTGGCCTACTAATGGTTTCATTCCTTACGGATTTTTCGAGTTAAGAATTGAAGAAAATTGACTTATGTTAGAAGAAATATTAATTCTTTAATTATTATTTATCACCAGATTATATTATTGAATCTATACTATTATTCAATCTCAGGAAAGCTAAAATTAAAAAAAAATTAAACACAGTTTTTTCCTTGTTCTGAATGATTGTGAAATAAGTTATAGGTACAATTTATTTCTAAATTATTATAAGTACCTTCTACAATAGGTTATTTCCCTCTAATAACAAGACTATTGTGGTGCTATTGACACAAAGCAATTATTGGAAAGCTTCCAACCAAATGTATCCAAGTCATGAATCGAGTAGTAATTCCATTTGAGTCTCTACATCTTACGTCCGTTTCGTAATCACGTACACACATATATATACATGTAAAACCGGTTCCGACATTCGAATTGCGAGATCGTATGGTAGCTAATTAAGTGGTTCTCCGCATTGAGCTGAGGTGTGCGCCAGACGAGAATTGGAAATGTATCCGATTCCAGAACGAACCTCGTGAAAGGAATAAGTATACTGGTCGTCAAGGACATGTCTCGCGAGCGCATTGGAATAATCCTACATCGTTCGGATTTTAATCGGACACGCTCGATGTGACGCCTCACCTGCGTTTCTGTCTGACTCGATTTTATCTGGTATTAAATGATTTCATCTCGCATAAAAATATCCTTTGCTCCGAGGTTTGTTTGTTACAGTTAATATCCCAATTTTTGTTGAAACGTAAAATTAATATTTGAAAGCAGTGCTCTTGCCCACTCTTCATCGTTTTCCATCAAAAGAATTGCTTTCGCAATTTTACGTAGAATACAAATTCAAACAAGGATTTAACTTAATAGAATTTGTACCCTCGACTGAACACGGGTGAATGAAATCGAATATTGACTAAACGTTGATGAAAATTCACATAACTAGCCAATTGAAAAAGTTTCAATTGCAAATACAATATATCTAACTATCGTGAATAGAAATAACCGCATTGGTATTCAGATCATTCGTTTGATCGTAATAAGTAGAACAAGGCGATTGTGGTCAGACACGCGAACCAAGAGAGCCGATAAAGCTGACGTTATAAATCTCGTTTCAAATTAATTACTCATCGATCAACTAAGGGAAAATGTAGATACTCGTTCCGCAGCTCAAGTTTTGTATAAACCCAACTCATTTCTGTGAACGCTCACCTTGAGATCACCGTTTAGAGCTACGTAAATCTTGCGACTCGTCGGGATCATGCATACATATGTAGTATAAGCATACATATTCAAGAGTTTCGCTGCTGCAGTGAACCGTACGAAACGAACGTACATTCATCCGCTTAAAATTTATCCTGGTATTTAAGAAATGTTGACATCACCTTGAAGTCTTAATCTCTCTATTCCAACGCATTTCATTATCTTCGATATTAGATTAAAATAATGTTGAAAACAGTGTTCAATATTTATATACATCACAAAATTTTAATAAAAATTGCTTTTCACCCTGGATTAAAATTCATAATTATGTAAAATAAATTCAGATTAAAAAAAGTAGATAGATTTAAAATTTCAATGTATGTATATAGTACAGGGTTATAAATAATTATTAATCATGAAGTACACAAACGATACCACAGGAATAATATCATGAAACATTGATAATTGATGAATAGAGACAAACCTGATACCTGGCGTTCTGCAATACATAATTACGTGCAATGATTACACTTTAATGGTCAACTGGGTAATTGTAATGACGAAAATGAAGAAATAGATTCACCCCAACTTGGATGTACACATGGACCGCTGGCAGACGCATTACCCTTTGTGACTCACAATCAGTAGAGAGCTATACATATAGAATGGCTTTTGACCCGGCAATAAGTAAACAGACTGGTTAGTTAGGAGATCAAACTTGTCTCACCGCGTTAGTATCATTATTGGAAGGTAATAGAACACTATTGATCTATAATGTGATATACCGTGTGACTGTTCTTCCGTGTCTTGAAACACGTGCAAACAATTTCGTTACCAAATCCAGACACGCCTTTTTTATATTGTTAAAATGTTACAGAATAATGAACGATGATTTGGAGGCATTTATTAAATTCTATGGA